CCTGGCGGCTGAGGTACTCGAGCTGGCCGGCAACGCTGCGCGCGACAACAAGAAGACCAGGATCATCCCTCGCCACCTGCAGCTGGCCATCCGCAACGACGAGGAGCTGAACAAGCTCCTGTCGGGCGTCACCATCGCCCAGGGCGGTGTGCTGCCAAACATCCAGGCGGTGCTCCTGCCCAAGAAGACCGAGAAGAAGTAAGCCTGCATCTGGCTCAGTCGACTCGAACCCTGTAACAGGCCTTTTTAAAGGCCACACAATACCAATGGAACTGGTCACAGGTCACTTTCATGACAACGCGTCGGCTTATCACGCTATCTGGGGAGCACCCAGAGCTGTTTCCGTTGGCGTGAAGCGTTAACCCACGCCCCTATCTCCTGAACTACTACAGACATTGAATTTGCGATTGATATCTCTTATTGGTCAAGCTACGGCGAAAAAAAAAAACTATGTAAGGGACTGTCCCACCTTTGCATTAGTTCGGAGTTGAGAGAGCCAAGTTGGCGGCCAGGTTCAAAAACCACTATATATCCTGTTCGCAATATCCTCAGTTTCGTGGTGTTAAAGAAATTCGTTCCCTTCATTTGAAAAGTGGGCCTTAGCTAAGGCCCTATCTCTTAACTATTAACGGCCATTTGATGACGTCATCAGCCGTTTCACGCGTTCGACCTGTTTTACGAATAAGTTGAAATCGGCGCCGGGGAAATCTCGCACTTTGCTTATAATTCGAGTCGGGCTATCGCATAACTATTCTATTTGCGTGGGTTTGCGGTTTTTTTGAAGTGCTCAGTTTTTGCAGCGAGCTTTTCCTCTTAGGGCCTGCGAGATATCTGCGTACACACATATCCCTTCAGCATTAGACGTTGACCAGGAATGCGGCTGAATTCACGTGACAAACTCGATGGCGGTCCCTCCATTCAGGAGAAAAATTACCGGCCGACGACTGGGAAATTCCACCGGCCGGCCCGGCGGTAGTGTGTCGGGCGGCGGGGTTTCCCCGTCCAGCGGCCGGCAGCGCTGAGCCGAGTCGTTCCCACGGTCTGGCGGCCAGCTGGGTGGGGGCGGGGTGGGGAGTGGGACGGCCGATTGCCAGCCGCTTCTCCACGGGCAGGTGCTGCCACCTGCGCAGTAGTTCCTTTTTTTTTTGAATTTTGCTCCCGACAGGCCGAGGCCCTGGTCGGGGTAGGGGGAAGTTACTAGCTGGCAATTAGCCAGATCTTCCGTTTTACTTTACTTTAAAGCCGGCTATGTTACTCCGGCCCAAGGCAATATCAAGAGCAAAGTTTACGTTAGACCGGCCCATGTGACGTCCGGTGGGAGCAAGTGCAAGGCGGCCGTGGTGAGCCGGAAGATGATTGTCGGTTCGGGGGGGAGGGAGAGAGGGAGGGAGGGTCGGGGCAGAGGGGTGTGAGGAGACCCGAGGCGTGGTGCGGCAGAGAACTGAGAGCGCGGCCCGAGTCCAGGGAGGGGGGGGAGGGGACCGGGCAAGGCCGAGCCGAGATAAGGCACGCATTGTTCACAGAGGGAGGGAGGGGACGGGGCAGACTAGCAGGACAACAAAACCAGCAGTCCAGGACTAGAGCTCGGAGGTGCAGACGGCCAACATATAAACTTTAATGATGAACATCAAGCTAGTAACATGCATACTGACACCAGATCGTACCAACCTGAACCGGACTATTGAATCCAATTCGTTGAAGATATGCTACATGTCACATGAGCTGTCAAAGACGCATATTTATGGATGCATGCATTGCAGTCCCTGCCACGCCTGTCCGGCATGGCAGGTGCTGTCCCTACTAGAGTTGCAAAGTTTTCCCTATGGGCTACTACCGGCACCGCCCCGCCCCACAAAAATTTTCTGGGATACCGGCATGCTACCACGCCCCAAGCAAAAACACCGCCAAATTACCGGCATACTAAAAAACCTGCATTCTTGATTCTGGCTTACCCCTACATGAGATGCCACATTTTGGCAATTTCAGTTACCGCCCCACCCAGCAGCCACTCATTGTCCAACCAAAACTCCAGCAGCCTGATTTTGGCTGAGTTGCCCCCACAAATACCACAATTTTGAAACTCAATTCCAGTTTACAGCTGTTAAAATATCACCTGTAATCAAAGAGGTATTGCCTACAAAAAGCCTACACACATTCATCAAAAAAGCAAGGTCAAAAAGAACTTGAATTACTGAAATGTGTTCCTGAAGACTGCACAGTGAGCAGCAATCACATTTACCACAAGCGTTCTTATTTTCCACCTTACCCTAAAATGAACTATAGCTAGTCATAAATCACAATATAAAAAAAAACTACAGATTTGGCCATGTTCCTGAGGAAGCGAGATCAACATCTGCTTTTTCCTATCCGCCATGGCTTGGCTCGTGAGTAAGATACGAATCATGTAAAAATATGTGTTAATAACTCACTTGTCCTGAGAAGTCACCAAATAATATGTATAAAAACGATATAATATCCTCTCCCATCTCAAACGCGGGAACAAACACAAGGTTATAAAGGATCGAAACAGATGCGCCATAACACAGTTTTTAACCAGCTGATTAAAACACTGCAAAAAAAAGTTTTAGGACTGCAAACTACTGCCTCGTGAATGATTTTTTTTTTTTTTTTTGATAAAAATCATCCAACACGATATTAAAATCCAATAAAATCAACACTGTGAGTGTTATTCACTACAAGAAAATCCACTTCTCTTGAGTAAGTCAACCAAAAGGGCATATGAATAAATATTACGTCATCAGCTTACATCTTTTTTAGGGGACAGAAGATCTTAAAAGTCAATCCTTGGTTGCTTGATCAGCTGATCATATTGCGCCACTTTGTATTCATTCGGTCTGCATGTTGTGTTTTCTAGTAAAGATAAGACAAAATGCCAGTTTAATTCATTTTCATTTCATTTTGGGACTGAAGTTAGGATCAGGGCTTCCTAACACCTGCCTTTTCAGCTGGATTTTCAGTGTCAAATTCTTTGTAGAGTATCTCAGACCACATCTCAGGACTCAAGGCCAGTTTCCAAACAATGTGTTTTGTGTTGTTTTGATTCTGCCTTTTGCCTAGGGAATGTTGCCATTAACATTAATTTATTTTATTGTATTATACCTATTACCTACCATTAGACTTACTAATTGGTTGTGCTTTTGCAACATGAATGAGTATTCTTCCTTTGATAGACCAAAGTAGATTCTTGACAATTCTTATTAGAGCCAAATCTGTGAAATGCTGAGGTTCATGTATTGTGTACAATTACCCTTACCAATGGAACTTCTACCACAAAATGTATTTTTCAGTGGCTAAGATTGCTGTTATTACAATTCAATAGCCTCTTAGTGTCCAAAGTTTGAATCATATGCTGATAATTTTTTTTTTGTGCAAAATCAAAAATACCGGCATGCTACCGGCAGGATATGCCAAATACCACGAAAAAACCTGCGGTAGTGAAAAATTACCGGCATGCCGGTAGTGCGGTAGGGAAATTTTGCAACTCTAGTCCCTACCAGCCATATGCGCCATTCACAGTTGCAGCGGTTGCTGTACATTAGCGTCATCTATGATTCACGAAAAGTCTCACGATGTTGTACCCATTTCCCGCATTATCTACGGTGGTATTAGTTCGTGAGAGAAAACGTGAACACCCATAAGGTGTGCTGGAAGGTGGTTTTCCGAAAAGTCTCACGATGTTGTACCCAGTTCCCGGATTATCTACGGTGGTACAATTTCGTGAGAAATACCGGAAAACATGGTCCTGGCTTAAAGGAAAAGGGCCACCTTCGTGAAATATGAAGATATCGTTGTTTTTCATTTTGACATTATTATTTTTCATTTTCTTTTTAAAACTGGTGCCAGAAGTGCACAATTCGCGAAAAAGTATTTAAAACTATTTAACATATTGGTACTTTGTTGATACTCTCTACGGCACCTACTGTGAGATGGCATAGCGATGACGTCACACTCAAACCAATCAGCGTTCAGAAGACAGACTCGTCGGATTGTGTCAGATAAGCTGATTGGTTAAAGCTGAGCTGATTGGAGCTGATTGGTAAAAAACCAAAGCCTCGCCGCGGGTGGCTGTATTACAGGGTAAGGACGCATTCCTGGGATAAGGACGCATTCCTCTTTTAAAATTGCCGATACCTACGAATGGAAGCCGAAATCGGCCGTAAGGAGATAGACTGGAGGGTTTTCGGACACGGGCTACTAGATGGCTATCTCAGTTTCAATCCCCATGTTAAAGGTGGCCCTTTTCCTTTAAGGGGCTGTGACGGAGTACCGTTCGTCAGGTCGACACGGGACTGGTATCAATCGCTTTTCCGAATTTTCTCATGGACACATATGTACCTTGCCGAAGAATATTCGGAAAATAGTACGGAGAGTGCGAGGGAGCAGTTTCCGAATTTTCTCACAAGTTTGACGCGCTGGGGCGCGGCAGTGAGCCGGAACATCCGGGAGCTCTGGTCGCGCCTGGGGCAGGGATGCGGGCCCGAGGCTAGATGCTCGGCGCTGGCCGTAGGACAGTTCCGCGCGACGACCCCTGTCAGTCCCGCCCCTCACCCCCCGCTGTGCCGGTCTCGGGTCCCGTCTGCCCCTACTTTGGCGCCATCTACGATTCACGAAAAGTCTCACGATGTTGTACCCAGTTCCCGGATTATCTACGGTGGTACAATTTCGTGAGAAATACCGGAAAACATGGTCCTGGCTTAAGGGGCTGTGACGGAGTACCGTTCGTCAGGTCGACACGGGACTGGTGTCAATCGCTTTTCCGAATTTTCTCATGGACACATAGGTGCCTTGCCGAAGAATATTCGGAAAATAGTACGGAGAGTGCGAGGGAGCAGTTTCCGAATTTTCTCACGGACATATCCTTCAGGAGGGTGCTCACCAGGCACCCTCGGCTGCTGACCAGCCTATTGGCTAGACGATCGGGGATGATTTGCGTCTCAATAATGGAATACAATCAATCGGTGAAAATCTTTCAGATTAAGTGTGGCCTTTAAAAAGGCCTGTTGTTCGTGGGGCTTTCGTCGCGAGGCATTCCGCTTAACCGCCGAAGCCGTACAGTGTGCGGCCCTGGCGCTTCAGAGCGTAGACGACGTCCATGGCAGTCACCGTCTTGCGCTTGGCGTGCTCGGTATAGGTGACAGCGTCGCGGATGACGTTCTCCAGGAACACTTTGAGAACGCCGCGCGTCTCCTCGTAGATGAGGCCGCTGATGCGCTTGACACCGCCACGACGAGCCAGGCGTCGAATAGCAGGTTTGGTGATGCCCTGAACGTGTTCGCGAGAATTTCCGGAAAACACGTGTTGAAGATTTCCGCTAATTCTTGCGCCCGTAGAATTTTCGGAAAGCTCTTTAAACGCCTATATCCCCGTATGTATGCGATATAGGTGATCTTATGGTGCCTTTTCATGTTGAGAAATGATCAAAGCGGACTTCTAAACCACGCATTCCTGAAAATCAGTTTATGAAAGTAATAATTTTTATGTTCAAACACTGCACTTTTAAATCACCTGGCTTTCATTGAGTTTTCATAGCTTAAGGTTAAAATGCATATGGATCGATAGAAAATTGTTTGTTTCACGGCGTGTGCAAGTTTCATAGCATTCGGACAACGGGAACGTTGTTTTATTAGCACTTTTATCAAGACTCCTTTTTTGATATAATCAGTCATGTTCATGGCATCATAATATAATATAAGTACGTCTAAATGCATAGAATACCCACTGGTACTCTCCGCTGGTTCATATTACATCGTTCTGGCGCTTTGATATGTCACTGTAGACTGTGTGGTTTGCTAATAAGTCATTTTTCTGTCGTTATGTCACATTTTGCCCTGTTCTCAGTGTTGGCCGTCCGTAGGGTGCTGCCTCTAGCGGTGATCAGGGTTTGGCTGTAGGTTTGGAATCAATCGCTAGATGGCGTACAAAGCCCCTCTGAGCGATGGTCGTGACGTCACCACTTAAAGGGTCTCGGAAGTGGCGTCAAAATGGTCTACAGATATTTTCGTGAGATTCTTCGGGACAAAAAGGTATACCTACTGCTGTGACGTCAGTGATGTTAGCAGAGAGTCTGCACGGCTAAATTGTTGCAATCGGTATTCAACAGGTCCGTACGATCTGTCGCAGCAGTGATGTTCAGGCCTTAGGTATCGCTTCGGCCAAAATTATTCCTGCTAGTGATGGAAACTTGATTTCTAGTATCTTAATATATTCTTGGTGTTATTTTAGGGTTAGGTTGTGTAGCAGTCAGGCGCTTGGCTCGGTATTACGCAATCAGGCAGAACCATGTAGCCTGCTACCTCAGCACCTGCCTGCCTGCAGGTGCTGCCTCTAGCGGTTAGCCAGCATCAGCTGCTTCTTATATCAACCAATAGATGGCGCAGGTGTTTGGTACGAAGGACGGCTAGGGTCGTTGGCTGTAGGACAGTTCCACGCATAGTCCGCCTGGGGGCGCAGTAGGACCGTTCCGCCATCGTATTGTGGGACGGGAGCTGTTTCCACACAGTAAGGTGCTGCCTCTAGCGGTTAGCCAGCAATCAGCTGCTTCTTATATCAACCAATAGATGGCGCCGGTGTTTGGAACGCAGGACGGCTCGGATCGTTGGCTGTAGGACAGTTCCACGCATAGTCCGCCTGGTGGCGCAGTAGGACCGTTCCGCTATCGTATTGTGGGAAGGGAGCTGCTTCCGAATATTCTCACGGAAATATACTTCTATGGTGTATTTGGCGGAACGCCTTGTTTCATAGTACCTATCCCTCATAATCCTCACGGAAAGATACCTCTGCGAAGAATAATCGGAGCATTGTACGGAAAGGGCGATGGAGCTGTTTCCGAATATTCTCACGGAAATATACTTTTATTTGACGGAACGCCTTTCATAGTATGCCTAAGAATCCTGACGGAAAGATACATTTGCGAAGAATATTCGGAACATTGTACAGAAAGGGCGAGGGAGCTGTTTCCGAATATTCTTACGGAAATATACTTTAGTGGTGTATTTGGCGGAAAGCATTTTCATTGTCAGCCATTTGTGTGGTGCAGCGTTTTATAATGCTCACCAACCTTAGAGCGAACGAAATATATTTCAATTAGTTTATATGAAGTTTAAAACCGCATATATTACATGTCAATCCTCAGATTAGCATATAGCATATTTTTTGGGTTGCCTGTTAACTGTGTTTTATCAGACCCCGATAGATTAATTTGGAGAACGTTCCTTGGCGTAGACTATTCGGAAACCAGTATCAAAATCGTCTAATGGGTGCCGTTTTAGTGAACCGTGTTTTTCGTAAAATCTTACGAAGTCCAATTCTCTTGGTATATTCTCGCGAATGTTGGCGGCTGTTGTGACGGTTGTGGGCGCGGCGCGCTGGTCTCAGATGTCCTGGGGGGTTATCGGTCCTTTGTTTTGCTCCCAGTCGGCCCCGTCCCCTCCCGCCCTCTGTGTAAAGTGCGTGCCTTATCTCGGCTCAGCCTCGGCCCGATCGCCACCCTCCCCCCCCCCCTTCCCCGGTGAACTCGAGCCGTGCTCTCCGTTCCCAGCTGCCGCGTAACGCCTCAGATCTCGCACCCCTCTGCCCCTCCCCTGCCCTCCCTTCTCATGTTTACCATTATTGCAATAGGATAGCTGCAGTGGTGGCCAGCGCCTGTGCACTCGGCAGCCACCACGGCAACGGCTCCGAGCAGGTCACGGATGCCTCTTGCTGTTCAAAATGCGCGCCTTTTTTTGACTGGCTGGTCCCAGCAGCGCGGTGCCGGCGGCCGGTATCCGATAACTACCGTGGGACGGCGAAGGAAGGATATTCCCACAGCGGCCGATCACACGGAACTTGTTCAAAACAATGTGTCATGATGCCTTGTCATATGGTGTTCGGCTTGGATCACTGGATCAAGCTGAACACATTGATCACATTGATCACATTGGAGAGATCACATTGGGGTGAATTGTATTTTATTGTATTGTAGTGTACATTTAAGAGCGATCCACGTTCCAAATTGCATGGCGATTACTGCTCAGAATCCGTATCTGCCGTTGCTATTCTAATTATTCCTAACATTCGCACATTCATTCACGTCAAATCACGGACAAAAACACTTCCGTAAAACAGTCTCACCCCGCTTACCCACCCACCACCCGGTTGGTCAGCGACGTATTTAAGTTGCATCAGGCTCTTGGATAAGTCATGAAAAGAAGTGGCTAATACCCGATGTGAAGGCAGATTTGAATATTCCGATGGCTTTGATGTAAGACGAGCTGAACACTAAATAATTTAAGGAAATCTACACCATGCAGTATTTTCTTCTTAAGACTCGTCCCACTCCAGGCGACGGTCCTATGTAAGCAGACCAGAGGTCTCTCTCTCTCTCTCTCTCTCTCTCTCTCTCTCTCTCTCTCTCTCTCTCTCTCTCTCTCTCTCTCTCTCTCCGTATCCCCTCCCTCTCTGCTCCTGCCCAGCTGACTCATGCCGGTATGTGAGGTCGGCCTTGGCACTTGCAGGGGCGTCATCAGCCTCAGAAACAGGGCATATGCAATAGACAACGCTCTGACATTCGCTGCTTTTACACACTACTCTTATGGTCATTGGGCATACCGACACTTGTAAAGCTGTAATTTTTCTTTCATCAGTACAATACAACCAGCACCTCACACAAACTATCCATGTTCCTGCTACCTCCGCCTTTGCCGGGGCGCTAGACCCTGCCCTCCCTGTCCTACCCTCCTCTGCTCACCCCCCCCCCCCTACTTCCTGCCGGTCCCACGCGGCGCGGCGGCCACCGCCGGCCGGCTGCGAGTCAGATGTCCGCGCGCGCGGCGGCGGCGGTGCACTGCAGTCAGCTGATCCGGACCGGTGTCGGATGGCGTCTGGGCGGGGGAGGGGCGGCAGAGGTGGTGGACGGATCTCACGGCCGACAGCACAGAGGCCGGCGCCACGTGGGATCGGGAGCTGGAAGCGACGAAGCGATGACACACAGTCGACAGTCAAATTTTCTGCTCACAAAGACTTGCGAACATAAAATATGTGTGTGTGTTTTTTTTTGTTGCTGGGGTCCTCCCTACTGTAAAAAACACAATTCGGCCGAGTGTTAAAACGTAGTTATCGACATAAAATGATACGACGTTAATTATGAAGGCATCCAAACCGCTTGAAAATTACTGTAAGTCTCAGTTGTCGAAATGTGGGCTCATCCATCAGGACATATATCCCTTATCCGTGTGCGTGTCAAACCACGAGACAGAAAACAGCGACCGAAAAACAGCGACGGGAAACAGCGACATAAAATAGCGACAGTATCTATAGCGACTCCAAGAACAGCGACGCACGGACTTGAGCGATTCTTTAACCCTATTAGTGGCAGGGGGGGTTGTTTTTATCCACCCCTCAGGTTTTTCGGGAATATCTCCGAAACCGCTGAAGCTACGATGCTGAAATTTTCTGACTTTTCCTAAAACTAAATTGGGCACATTCCCTGAAAATTTCAAGTTCATAACTTTACCAGGGGCGGCTCCAGAGCACTGGGAATTGGGGGGTCCTATTCGTGAAGCGAGTCATTTGGGCGAAGATCACGATGCTGCACCAGTTTTACGAACAGTGAATGAAAGGTATCATGTGATAACATATACAAAGTTATTGTGCATCCTCTTTTGACACGTTTTTGCTATAATAGGCGGATCCAGGCGTCCAAAAAGGGGGGTTATTTTTTACCTCCCAACATAGGTGCCCTGACACCGCCTATGCATGACCAATACAATTTTAGTCGTTCTCTCATAAGAAAATTGTAACATAACAAGACCATTGCCACCCTTTTTAGAAACAGCACCAACAAAAACCTTATTTACTATACTTTTTGTGTACCCCCAATCTCAATGATCTGTATCCGCCTATGATTTTTGAAAATGCATATTTTTAGGATCCATGCGAATTCCTGGTTCATTCTCTATCGATCGGCAAAAGTTGCGTTAAGATTGGTTCAGAAACCTGGCCGTGATAAACAGTCTAAAATGTATCTGCAATTTGCCCTTTTTTACCCCCCTCTACCCCCCTATTGACATTTTTTAATTTTTTTTTTTTTTAGAAATGAAGATCTCGTTGAGCCAAATCGAATGCCGTTTGAATTTTGAAAATCGGCCCGTTAGATCTCGAGATATCAAGGGGGGGTCGTAAACAGCCCCCCCTGCCACTAATATGGGGTAGCCAGGAGCCTGCCACTAATAGGGTTAAAAGAGCGACGGGTTATAGAGCGACTGTCGGTATAATCATTTGCAGCGAAACAGCGACCTGTTACAAAACGATCGCGGACAACTGTACATGCATATAGAACACTGGATTTTTTTTAATCGATCGAATCAGAAACCCAACTATCAAAACAGGGAAATCGAACGAATCGAAACGAACTGCACGATAAATACACATTCCACGCATGAATAACTTTTCTCGCTATTTTACACTATAATCGTTATTTCACATGGTCGCTCCCGTCGCCCTTTTGAGGAATCGCTCAAATCCGCATGTGTCGCTGTTCTGAGAGTCGTTCTAGACCCTGTCGCTATTGTGAGTATGTCGCTGTTTTCCCGTCCCTGTTTTTCGGTCGCTATTTTATGAGTCGCAATATCCAATTGCACTGTTTAGCAGAGAGAGAAATAATGAAGTAGAACACTGTTTTTGAGTAAGCCATAGCGCTCAGTACCGGGCTGAGCGGCGATCGCCAGCCTGATATTTACCTGTTATTTTTAGTAGCTTTGTCGAGCTCGGAAATGCTTCATTTTCACAGGGCATATAGCCAAGACGATTGGCTATATGATTTTGGAAACAGCATGTTTATATCGTAAACCGTTTCGACGTGCGCTGTAATTGTGTTTTATCTTGCATTTTACGTTACGCGCACGTCGCCAGGACCTAAAACACGATAAAAACAAACGGTTTGCAGTGGTCTTTTCAGTCACTGATTGCAATGCAGTGGACAGCATATCTAGCTACATCAATTTGCTATGATAGTTTGAAAACCACACGTCAATAGCGCTCACTATTTAGCAGAGAGAGATAATTAAGTATGTAGAATACTGTTTTGGCGTAAAACAGGTTGCTCGGCGCCGGGCGGTCCGGCTGAGCGGCGATCCGCAGCCTCATAATAAACTGGTTGTTTAGTACCTTTGTCGAACTTGGAAATGCCTCAGGTTCACAGGGCAGGTACCCAAGACGATTGGCTTTAAGATTTTAGATACAGAATCTTTATATTGCAAACCATTATGACATGGGCTGCTAGTGAGTTTTATCCAGAACTTTACCTGACTCGTTCGTCGGAAGGACCTTAAAACTTGCTGAAAACAAAGGAATCATGGTGTTCTTATCAGTCGCTGATTGCAACTTAGTGATAAGTACATCTAGGTACATCAATTTCTTATGATATTGTGAAAAACACACATGAATATCTTGTACAGTTTAGCAGAGAAAGATAACTAATTGGAACATTGTTTTTGCAAAAACATGGCGCCTCGGTGCTCGGCAGTCCGGCTGAGCTGAGCGGCAATCCTGGTGGTCTTATCAGTCACTGATTACAACGTAGTGAAAAGCACGTCTAGCTACATCAATTTGCTATGATATTTTGAAAGCCACACGTGAATATCATGCACTGTCTAGCATAGAGAGATAATAAAGTAGAGCATCGTTTTTGCGTAAAACATAGCGCTCGGTGTCGGGCTTAGCGGCAAGCTGCAGCATGATATTTACCTGGTTGTTTAGTAGCTTTGTCGAACTCGGAAATGCTTCATGTTCACAGGGCATTTAGTCAAGACAATTTGCTATAAGATTTTAGATACAGCATCTTTATATTACAAACCATTAGGACATTGGCTGCTAGTTAGTTTTATGCTGCACCTTACATGACTCGCTCGTCGCCAGGAACTCAAAACCTGCTGAAAACAAGGGAATCGTGGTGGTCTTATCAGTCACTGATTGCAGCGTAGTGAAAAGCACGTCTAGCTACATCAATTTCCTATGATATTTTGAAAACCACACGTGAATATCTTGCACTGTTTAGCAGAGAGAGATAATGAAGTAGAACACTGTTTTTGCGCAAACCATGGCGCTCCTTACCGGCCTGAGCGGCGATCCCCAGCCTGATATTTACCTGGTTGTTTAGTAGCTTTGTCGAGCTCTGAAATGCTTCATTTTCACAGGGCATTTAGCCAAGACGATTGACTATAAAATTTTGGATACAGCATGTTTATATCGTAAACCGTTTCGACGTGCGCTGCCAGTGAGTTTTATCTCGCACTTTTCCTCACACGCACGTCGACAGGACCTAAAACACGATAAAAAACAAAGGGTTTGCAGTTGTCTTATCAGTCACTGATTACCCTGTAGTTAACAGCACATCTAGCTACATCAATTTGCTATGATATTTTGAAAACCACACTTCAATATCTTGCTCTGCTTAGCAGAGAGAGGTAATTAAGTAGAATACTGTTTTGGCGTAAAACATATCGCTCGGCGCCGGGCGGTCCAGCTGAGCGGCGATCCCCAGCCTCATAATAACTCGGTTGTTTAGTACCTTTGTTGAACTTGAAAATGTTTCATGTTCACAAGGGATTTAGACAAGACGATTGGCTATCAGACATTAGATACAGCATCTTTATTTTACAAACCATTACGACGTGGGCTACCAGTTGGTGTTATCCTGCACTTTACATGGCCCGCTCGTCGCCAGGAACTAAAAACATCCTGAGAACAAAGGAATCGTGGTGGTTTTATCAGTCACTGATTGCAACGTAGTGTAAAGCACGTCTAGCTACATCAATTGCCTATGATATTTTGAAAACCACACGTGAATATCTTGCAGTGTTTAGCAGAGAGAGATAATGAAGTAGAACACTGTTTTTGCGCAAACCATGGCGCTCCGTACCGGCCTGAGCGGCGATCCCCAGCCTGATATTTACCTGGTTGTTTAATAGCTTTGTCGAGCTCTGAAATGCTTCATTTTCACAGGGCTTTTAGCCAAGACGATTGACTATAAGATTTTGGATACAGCATGTTTATATCGTAAACCGTTTCGACGTGCGCTGCCAGTGAGTTTTATCTCGCACTTTTCCTCACACGCACGTCGACAGGACCTAAAACACTATAAAAAACAAAGGGTTTGCAGTTGTCTTATCAGTCACTGATTACCCTGTAGTTAACAGCACATCTAGTTACATCAATTTGCTATGATATTTTGAAAACCACACGTCAATATCTTGCTCTGCTTAGCAGAAAGAGATAATTAAGTAGAACACTGTTTTGGCGTAAAACATATCGCTCGGCGCCGGGCGGTCCGGCTGAGCGGCGATCCCCAGCCTCGTAATAACTCGGTTGTTTAGTACATTTGTCGATCTAGGAAATGCCTCAGGTTCACAGGACATTTATCCAAGACGATTGGCTATAAGGGTTTTGATACAGCATGTTTATATCGTTAACCGTTTCGACGTGCGGAAAACAAAACTATCGTGGTGGTCTAACTGCATCTTATTGCACTGAATGCCACGTAGTTAACAGCAGGTCTAGCTACAATAATTTTCTATGATATTTTGAAAACCACACGTAAATGTCTTGCACTGTTTAGCAGAGAGAAATAATTACGTAGAACACTGTTTTTACGTAAAACTTAGTGCTCGTTGCCGGGCTGTCCGGCTGAGCAGCTTTTTTCTACACCAGGTACGTTGCAGATGTTGTCGGAGTCAGTGTCTAACATATACATAGGGCGAGAACCTATTTTTCAACATTTATTGTCTTATAGGTAAGTTAAGTTATAAATCACTCATTGTTGAACGTTTAGTGGAAACATGACAATGTCCTCCTTTGACATGGGACCGCATCGCTAATTTCTCACTTATCAAATGAAACCATCACTATATCGCTATACACTATATTACAGTCCACCATATCACATTCGGGTTGCATGTGACCATATGCATGCTGGTATCACATGCAGGTTACAATTTTTTCCGTTACACTAGTTTTGAAAGTGATACGATTTCGTCTGGGCTCTGGTTTATGGCTTTATCAACGTGACACAGATGCGAAATGCCAACACTTTGGTTTATACACACATGTCCACCGATCAACTATGAAAATGAATTTGATTTTTTACACACCAAACACGTTGCAGATGTTGAGGGAGTGTGTGTCTAACATATACATACGCGAGATCCTAGTTTTCAACGTTTCTGGCGTCCTACAACCTTAAGCACTGTTGAACGTCTAGGGGAAACATGACAGCTTCTTTTTTTGACATGAGACCGCACCGCTAATTTTTAACTAGGAAATGAAACCATCACTGTATTCTTCAACTCACAGTCCACCATATCACATGCTGTCACGCCTTCTTGTGATTCAAATGATACTTGCAGATGGATTATATCGAAGCCGTGTCTGTGCACACTGCTATTCTCTTCTGCATTTCGTCCTGTAACTGCAATTCACGGTAATCTCATGCTCACTTATATGCATCTTCTCGGCCGTTTTCATAGCGTAAAGTCCGAACTCCGAACTGTCCAAGACCAAGTCTCACAATCGGCTGCATGGACTTCAGGAGCAATGGTACCTACTCTTTTGTTGACCTCATTCTTGACCACTGTTGGCTCACTGACGGCTTAGGATCTCCGTAGTCCCTCCTAACACAGGATATCATCAAACGGGTCACGTTTGAACCATCATGAAGCAAGGCACTCAAAGCACCTATTGAACTTCTCTATGCCATGAGCTTCTCTATGCCATGAAACACGCAACGGTTTTTCAACAACTTTCATGATTATATCTTCATTCTTGATTGAGTTCAATTGCGTTCGATGTTTGCAATGTCTTCCTACATTACCTGCGCTTCGTGTTCTATTTCTCGTCTTTTAGTTGAACATGCCCGGAAACTGTTTGCACAAGTGACATCAGTTTGTCTCACCTCACACTGTTTCCACACCAAGACGCACCGCGGGATTACAGCAGCACGGCCAACACATGACTAACAGTCATTATTCTGTCGTCCCCTCACTCACTCTTTCTTTCTCTCTCCTGGCGGTGTTGCATTTCCGCAGGGGGCTCACAATCTTCCAAGAAAACGTCAAATGACCACAGTGAGAAGGCACAACTCCTCCCATCCCCGTGCATTTGACACCGTGGGTCGAGCGCTGCCGCTTGCTTCCCACGAGTACGGTACGACCCAGCTGTAATCAGTTCGACATTCTCGGCCGCGGCGCAGCGGAAGTTTCCAGGAATTGTGTAGGACGAGAGAGAGAGAGAGAGAGAGAGAGAGAGAGAGAGAGAGAGAGAGAGAGAGAGAGAGAGAGAGAGAGAGAGAGGAAGGGAGAGAGATAAAGTGGAGAGATAGGGGAAAGATTGAGTTTAAGAAGCAATATAGAGAAACATTGACATACAGAGAAACATATTTGTATCTCTTCCTCTCTCTCTCTCTCTCTCTCTCTCTCTCTCTCTCTCTCTCTCTCTCTCTTTATCTGTCTCTCTCTCTCTCTCTCTCTCTCTCTCTCTCTCTCTCTCTCTCTCTCTCTCTCTCTCTCTCTCTCTCTCTCTCTGGGCGTTGGGCGTATCGAGTTCTGGCGAGCGTGTACCCCTGTTTTGTTTTTGTCAAACCGGACCTTGATCTCACACGCGCTTTTGAGTGTGTACACATTGTTGTGTGCGTATGTGACAGGTCGCCGCCCACTATTCACTCAATCGGATGGGTGTCACCTCTGAGAACCGCACCACAGCTGACCAGGCCGAGCCCTAATGTGGGGTGTGGTCTTTACCACAGAGCGGCTGGGATGGTGGTAGAAAATAAGAAAATGAATCTAGGAAATTTTATGTTAACCCGGCCGGGCCCGGGGGGTAATCCCAACCACCGCAGCCCGGGGGGGGGGGCGTTTTTCGCCCCCCCTGTCTAACTCCGTAAATAAGGGAGCTACGGAAACAAAAGTGATACCAAACGAAAGGTCCTTACGAGACGATTCTAAAGCACCTACAATTTTTGACCTCAGGTCAATTTTCAAGGTCAGAGGTCAAGGTCAAAGGCAAAAACCGACACATGTGTAGTGATCTCAAAGTAAGCGTTCTAGACGACGGCAGGATGCATAAAACCGGCAAAATTGGGTGTCAAACGAAAGAAGAGAATCTGAGGATTCCGAAAATGTGCTCAAAATCAAAGGTCAAGGTCAAGGTCATGCTTAAAATTGACCTCAAACTTTGCACTTTTTCGTACATCTTGCGTGCTAACTTCCAAGATGTTTTGAAATGTTTTGAGGCTTATCAGGTCCCTATTTGTGGTTCATCTTACGATACAAGGCTGCTCAAAGGTCAAGGTCACAGAAGAGTATCCTTGCTAGAGGCTATTTCACTGATTCAAGTTGGTAATAATAAATAAGACAAATTTGCAATCCAGAGGCTCTAAATGAAGGCTTAGAGGAAAATAGATGCCAGATTCGTGATCAGCGGGTGCGAATCCATCATAAATGACCTTTCATGTGTCAAGGTCAACCAGAGGTCATTCGAGGTCACATGAGGTCAACATAAAACTTGACCTTTTCCAAATAAAATATATATCATTCGACGCGGCTTGACAAGGCGAATGCGATGGTACCACTGCCGTAGCTCTAGGACCATTTTTGTCGAAGTTATTTGCGAAAAACTAAAACCACAGCTCGGGGTCGTTGACCTGACCTGTGACCTCAGGTCACCGAAACTATTTTTCTATTTTTTTCTAGGTCAAACGCTACACAACCGTGCTCGTAATTTGTCTTTATCTCTAAAACTCTATTTTTGGCAGCTATTTGAAGTTCGCGTCTGTGACGCCGAAGTTTGCCATGCAGGGGTCTAGAAAAATCGACCCTGTGACGTCATCAATGGGACTAGGTCCAAATGTTTTACTTCAGAAGATGTCAAATTGATGGGAGAAAAGGTACTGAAAGTTTCGCTTTCCTATCCCTAAGCGTTCGGGAGCTATCGCAAATATTCGCCAGGGGGGGCGAAAAACGCCCCCCCCCCGGGCCCGCGAGGGTTAATGACATTGAATGACGGTCAAATTTGTCACGTATGGCGCTGTAAAAATGTGTCAACACATGGAAAGAGGACAAGGAAATAGCGCGTGGCCTTTGGTAAGTACTAAATAACAAAGTAGTCACTAAATAGTTAAGTAAGCGTTGGTAACAGTTACTAAGTAACCTGACAGAATTACAGTCGGTAGCCACATATTCCGGGACTTAAACTCAAACATCAAGAAGCGTTTGAGAAAGGGAGAGGTGAATATGCCGGTATGCAGCGATTCTCATCCCGCTCACAACAGTTGACGGCCGGCCCCGAGCAGGCCATGCCGTCTGTAGTGAAGTGCCCCTCCGCGGGCACGCCGCGGGCTGGCGGCGGCGGCCGGAGCGGTGTTATCTTTAGCCGGCGGGATCAGGTAACCGGGGCGGCCGCGGCGCCGGAGCGCCGCGCCGGGCGCAGCCGACCGAGTCCGCTGGTACCGCCGGCGAGCCGTCTCTAAGGGCGCGGGGCACATTGGTCTATTTGAATGTTTAGTCTTGAATTGTGCGGGTGATGTCATATGTATGAAGGCAATACATTGCACTTACACACTCCCTCTCTCTCTCTCTCTCTCTCATTCTCTCTCTCTCCTGCTCTTTCTCTCTCTCTCTCTCTCTCCCTCCCTCTCTCTCTCTCTCTCTTTCTGTCTCTCCCTCCATGTCCCCTCTTGTCAGGCTGCCCGCCGCTCTGACTCAAGCTGGAATGAGTGGTCGCCCTTGGCACTTACAGTGGCGTCATCAGCCGCAGAGAAGTGAGCATATCCAACAGAGGAACCGCGCTACTACCATTTGGCTGTTTTTATGCATACCCTTATCGTCTTTAAGAATTTCCGAACTTGTGCAGTCATATTTGTTTATAGCATTAGTACAATACAATGAGCGCAGCCCACAAGCACCTGTACGTCTGTGCTACCTCCGCCTCTGCCGGGGCGCTCGGACCCTGTCCTGTGCTCGCCCCCTCCCCCCCCCCAACCTACTTTCTGCCGGTTCCACGCGGCGCGGCGGCCACCGCCGACTGTCTCCGAGCCAGATGTCGGCGCCCGCTGTTGGGTGGGGACAGGCTGTCGGGACTTGGGGTCGAGCAGCTATTCGGCTGGCACATTCAATATCTGCAGTTAAGGTTTTGCTTCGGTCAAAGATGAAATTGACTTCTGGCAATTAGGAAGATTGATACTATAGGTTGTCCCATGAAGTCGTTCTCACTTCTCGCATTATATATGCATGTAAAAGAGAGTACTTAACATTTTGATATATTTGTGAGTCAACCATCCAATGTGCTCCCCATTTCGTGGACAAACATATGAATACACGATGTGGCATGCCAGTCGCCCTGTGGCAGTTCCTACGTGGCACTTCCTAGAGCCACTTGCACTTGAACAAATCTTTTACTTTTAATGTCACTGAATACAAAAAAAAAATTGGGGGCAATTACTTTCATGCCGTGTTTCTTTATGTTAATTCATTCAAGGGCTATAGACGTTTTGCTTGGTCTCTGCACATCGACCTTCTTCTTTACTCGTCAAATATCAGGGTAAATATAAATGTGCAAGATTTGCACTTTCTAAACCCACTCGTACGTCAGTGGCTCATCTTCTTTCCCTCTTTGGGCACAGAAACATAGGGGCATGACATATCTAAACTATGTTTCTCTATTCTATCTTCTTTCATTTAGGAGCTATAGACATTTCTCTCCGGCTCTACACATCGACATTATTTCTCTAGTCGTTTAATGTGACGGTACATATCAATCTACAAATTTGACACATTTTGGAGTCACAACTTGAGTGACTCATTTACTTTTCCTGTCAATAAGCACAAAACAGTGGGGCAAATGATATCAATGCTATGTTTCTCTATGTCAATTCATTCCGGAGCTATCACTTTTCTCTTTGGCTCTGCATTGACATTATCCTCTAGTCGTCCAATGCCACGGTACATTTACTTGTGCACTTCCTACAACCGCTTGCACTTACGTGACTCTTCTGTCTTTCCTCTAAGGCGGAGAAAAGATAGGGGCATGACATGGTTCTCCTCTTATTAAAAAAAGGTTCTCCTCTTATTTCATTCGGGACCTATAGACGTTTCTGTTTGACTCTGCACATCAGCATTTTTTCTCCAGTCATTCAATGTCACGGTACATATAAATAATCAAATTTGGCACTTCCTTGAGTGACTTGTACCTGAGTTACTATTCTACTTTTACTGTCAGTGAGCACAGAAAAGATATGGGCACGACATATCCATGCCAATGCCATGTTTCGGTACGTTACTTCATTCAGGATCTTCAGACGTTTCTGTTT